GAATGACTGGGGAAGAATGACAGATTCAACTCGAGAAACAAGAGGCGCAGAGTGGGAAGCTCTAATTCAAAGTACTCCTGCACAGTGGGGTGTGTATTAGCATAAAGAAGGGTATCAGAAGGGGGCTTTATTTGGAAGGTCCTTATCCATCTGTTCCCCCTGTGCATGAGGAATCAGGACAATAAGATCTTGTAAATGAATGGAAACGCATCAGAGATGCCCACTGCCATCGTCAGGTCTTTTTCTTCTTCCATTGGACACAATCTGCACATTTCCACGTTAGTTGGTCCAGGAGGTAATGCTTTGTTACCAGACCTCTTTCCATTTTCTGAGCCACATGAAGCAGGTGAGCACTTTGACTGCACTGCACATCAAAGCATGTTGTGACCTGCTGGTGGAGCCCACAGCACCGCAGCCCTTTAAATAGAACTGCTGTATGACCTGTGTTAAAAATGCAGCTTCTCAGAAGTGAGCTAAGCCAAAGTTTAGCAGCTTCTCCTGACTGAGGGGCAGATTATTGACTACAGAAACTGTGAGATGCTATTATTATTCCCATTGTACTAGGAGGGATTTAAAAATAAGCTATTTTAATAGCTGTTTTTTTTAGAAGCAGTTAAGAAAAATCTACAGGCAGTTTGTGTAAACAGGATTATTAACTGTAGGTTCTTATTCTGATCTATAAACCAAGATAATCACTAAACAACAAACAGGGATGGAAATGGCTGAAGGTGTGTAGTATTTCATTGACATAGTTTTGTATGAAACAGAGATGAAAAAGCAGAAAGAAGGAACTGATGTAAACAATCAAAATACAAAGGTTATTTCATACCTGAAACTCTCATTCCAGCCTTTCCTCTCTCTGCCTCAGAATAGGTCCATTAAAAAAACATAGCTTCTCTCTCTAAATAGTTTTACTTTTCATTTGTGAGATCAGAAACACTTCTTACATAACTTGTTTTGTATTCAGCCATATTTTACAGGAATCTAATGAAGAGCTAACAAGTCCAAGATTGCATACCTAACAATACCAGCAATGCTGCCTTGCTTAAAGATCGCTTTAACCTACTTTTTAAAGCAATTTAAGTTAACGCTCCATTATATTTTCTCAGTTATACCATTCTGGCCTCCAAATCAGTTTTGATTTACAGGTATTTTTCCAACACAGTAGGGTGAGGCTGAGTGTTTTAAAATTAGAAGCTTTCCACATTTCTCAGGAATACATTTCTGTGGCATTGAGGTAACTTTTTCCAAATTACACAATAAGGTCATTGTAGCAACTGCAGCAATGTATGGAAAAGGGTCTAAGTCCCAGGGGCCGTGTTGTGTTTCCATAGACTTCAAACTACTCGCAGCAGCCTTCCCTAACGCTGTTGTTGGCACCATCAGAGCTAGCAAGGCAGGAGGAGATGTTGCTGGCTGGCTTCTTGCGAGTGCGTCATTCCTGCTGTCCTAAATGCCAGCTCTGTCACTGGTGACGTGGGCAAACTGAAGCAAAGTGACACTGTGAGAAGCAGAGGAGGGGAAATGTGCCCCCCAAAGGGTCAGCATTTTACCAAGTCTATGTGTGGGGTGAAATAACTTCACTGGACTTGGCAAGATGTGAAAGCATGTTTTATTCATACAAGAGTAAATAAAGTGACTTTTCTGTCACAGCTAGATGTACAAATTAATGTACCTCTACATAAAATTAGAGCTTTGTTTTAGACACAACCAGTGTTTACTCAGTTTGGCTCTCAAATCATACGTGTTACAAAGAAGAGGGAAATACACGACCTGTTTTAGGAGAGTGTTTCAATTGATACAGATAGCTCTCCTCAAAGATGAGCGACCTGGTCCATATTTGCATGAAAGAAGATCAGAGGTTCATTTTGTGCTTTCCATTTTGACGGAACAATAGGTTACATAAGCATTCTTAGTGTTATGATCCCTAATGAAAATAAATGTCTCCTTGCTTCATGTTGTTTGTAAAACAAGGGATTTGACTGTGAAGAAGCACTACGTACTGTGACAGAACAATCAATAGGAATATTTACATTGCATATAAAATGCTAGGAGTATCAACATCAAGTTTTGCTTGCTATTTGTCTAATAGTTTCAGAGCGTGACTTGCTACCAAAGCCCAAATTCTGTGGCATGGATCAGTGTGGGCATGTTGACAGGTTAACTTCAGGTCTAGTCCTGTTCTTGACTGGCCACAGTGAAAGTTTTTATTCTCCTGCTCCTTAAAAGCTCGGACTGCAATCTTCCTGCTGCCGTCTGCAAAAATTCTGGGTGAGCTGGGATCTTGTATCACAGACCTTCGCTCTGGATCATTTTGCAGGAACTCCTGGGAAGGGCACGTCTCTGTGCTGCACATCACCCTTCTGACGTTCGTGTCGTGGTCTGTTGTGACAAAATGTCATGTTGCAACCTCGAGTCCAACCGCCCTTAGGTTGGGTGTTGCCACGTGGGAAATTGAGGCTGGTAACCAGGTCAGTGTGGCTGGGATCAGCCTAAAGCCTGCAGGAGATGTGTTTGTTTGGTTTGCATTTGCTGGGTGTGAAGGTCTTCATTTAACCCTGGGTAATGTGGTACCACCAGCCAGTGTTATGTGAAGGACCTGGTGATGGCAATCAGAAGTTTCAAACAAGTGCAATTGCCCTGAAGCCAAGTTTAATAAGATGTCTCGGAGGGTCCTTTAACCCAAAATGAGCAGTAGCTGCTCCACGCAGCATGCTTGCCTCCACGCCAACAGGCGCACTGCTCTACAGTACGCGTTGCTTTACTTCCAGACACAAGCTCCCCGCTGCAGGATGGCAAAGAAATGTTTGTACAGCTTTAGCTAGGGGCTCTGTGAACGGGCTGCTGCCAGAAATTGTCCAGATGAGATCTCTGGTGCCTTGCATATGTTCCATTAATACAGCTTAGTGGTTTTCCTCCAGCACAAGTGGCATTATGGCTGCGTACCACCAATTTGGCCGGGTGCATTTGGTTCACAGGTAGCAACAGTCCTGTTTGCAGCTCCACTAAAGGCACTGGAGTTAACAGTGGACGTGCCATTTCTTGATGCTGGCTTATATTTTTTTCCAACCTTTTTCATACAGATTTCTCTCTGGAGGCACAGATCAAAACTCAGGTGATGTAGCCAATCTGCCACAACTAATTAATTTTTGGAGCATAGCAGGGGGAGCTGGGACGGAGCAGCGTGTGCCTGGAGCGCTCCCCGTGCAGACCTCCCGGCCGGGCTCAGCGGCTCGGCTTCCTGCAGGCGCTCTGCGGGCGGCTGCCGTCTTGCAGGCACAGAGCCTCAACTTTTATTTACTCTTCCCCTAGTGCTTCCCTTGCTGTGCTGATGCAACCGAGACCATTGCATAATAGCCTGGTCCTTAAAATGAATTTCTCATGGCTTCTACCATGTGAAAGGAGCCGAGCCAGCAGTGCTGGCTGTGTGCAGAGCCAAGGCCGCTGGAACATCTGATTTCTTTGCCTTTATAAGCAGCTTGTCAGCCTTCCCTTTCAGTCTGATAATGAGAATTTTAGAAACACGCACACACAACCTCTTTTGTGTTGACTGAGCAGATAAAACCAACGATTTTCCCAGACAGAACTGGTGTTTTTGCTATACTTTTGCATTTGTTTTTATTAACAGTATGGGTCTCTAACCACAGCACTGCAGCAAAGAGTTTTTCTTCCTGGGAGTGACTTAAGCAAGAACAGACTTTATGCAATTTTCCAAGGAAATGTAAAATAACAAGAAGGATTTCAATGCTAAGTGGCACTTCGGGCTTTCTTTCAAATCTCAGGAACAACTCTCAGTCAGGAACAAATCTACTAAAGCCAATGGAATTAGTTTGGTCTAAATAACAGTATAATTGGGCTTTTTTGTTTCTGAGTTGCTCAAAAATAAGTCTCAGTAAATAACTCAGGGTCAAATCTTCTGCTTATGCCAGAACTATGCTGAACTGGGGAGAAATTGTCCCAAATTCACCCTGTCTGGCAGTTTGCAATGAAAAAATGGTTGAACAAACCTATCTGTGTTTCCTAGGTAGCCCCTCCAGAACTTGACTTGTAATTAATAGCTGTTTCTTACTAAAATACTTCTTCTTATTGGCCTCTCTGAGTTCCTTGATGTCACTGCAGACACTTCTTCCACTGAACTTTCACAAGGTGGGAGATTTCACAGGCTGACCACAGCTTGCTCTGCTCGTGTCCAGAGCTGCGTGGGTGTGAGTTGGCACTAGACTGGGTGCCACCAAATGTCACCTGTCGTATGGCATTGTTGATGTGCCACAGTGCCCTGGTGTAGTGTCTCCTTGGTTAGAGCTGGCTGATGTCCACCTAACTCGCAGGGAAAGCAGGGCAAGTTTGCATCTCCCTGCAAAGCACAGCCTAGGCATTTCCACAGTCATTCACACCATTGCCTTCCTTTATGTTTTCATTGATAGTGGACCCGAGATAGAAAGTTAGATTTTAACCTAAATTTAAAGTTCTCCAGAGTTTAACAAGTATATGAATCAGAGGTTTTTTTTCTGTGGGTTGTGGAACTGTAAATCAGATGTAATGCTCTGGTCCAGATCCAGATCTGAGTTTCCTCAAAGTTTGGGAATATTTTAAGTTTTTTTGTTCTTGTTCTTAAACCCCTGTCATTTTCTGGCTCCTATAAACAATGTTCAGTTTGAAGCTAGGCTGCTAATACACAGCCCAGTAGCCCAGTAGCAGTTACTATCAGCGCACAATCATAAATATTTCTACTAATAGCCCAAGCCTGACATTCTGACTTTAATTAATCTGATTATGTTTAATAATAAATTGTAGTAACCTATAAACATATTTTTAACTGGTGAAGCTGCTAATCAGTTTTGCAGATCAGTTTTGTAGTCGTTCAGTGAGACGATAGGGATTTACCTTGCTGCAAGGCAATATTAATCCCTGGCTAAAAAGATGACTATATTTCTGCGATCATCAAACTAATCTGAATTTTTTCTTTTCTTTTTTTTTTTTTTCTTTTTTTTTTTTTTCAGCACACTGAAGTAGATCGTTACTGGTTCAGAAGAAATTCATTTATGGGAAACGATTCATCTACCACATGAAAACTGGTGTTGAGGTAGGCCTTCTTTTATTTTGGTTTCCTGAGATCTTTGGCTTGGTTTATTAACAGCTGTATACTTAAAGCACATTAAGGATAGCTAAAGTGAGGGATGTGACCATTTATTATTGTAGCAGAAGTAGCAAAGTGCCTGTGTGTCTAAAGCTGCATTTCTGAAGTGCCAAATTTGTCTAGCTAGGAAGGGATGAAAATGAGAAGCCAGTTTTCCTTCTGGCTTCCCTGAGGAGTGGATGTGTTTTGGTTCCAAAGAAGGCAGGGAGCAGACAAACAGCTTTTGCCTTGCTTTTAGGTGACATGACACTCTAACCCGATGCCTTATTAAACTTGCCCATGGATATTTCTTGGGTCATAAAAGGGGGCTGCGTATTTGCTTCCCAGCATTGGCTTTCAGTAGAAGCATGTCCAGCATCATCTTTTCTGCTCATTTGATGTTGCGAGACATGCAGGTCCCCGCAGGACTTGTGGACCTTCAGCTTTCACCAGTGGGAAATGATGGTCTTGCATTGAGTGCCCTTCCTGAGCTGTCCCCGATGCAGCTGGCCTCTGCAGAATGATCCCAGTGTAAAGTTTCCTCAAAGGATTGAGGGAAGAAGTTGGTCTCTGGCACCTGAAGTACCTTTTTTCTTTTAGACATCTCAGTGTATGAGTGAAGAAAGCAATCTGATTAGCACATTTGCTAGATAGTTGAACGTATGGGAAGGTGAAAATATTAATAAAAGATAGAGTTGATTTATACTCAAACTGGCCTTTGGATTTGCAGTATACACTGTAAGAACATGCTTATATAACCTCCATTTCTATTCATAAAGGTTTATGTGGGTCTATATTGAATTATGCATTTAAAATTAATCCACTGAGGCAGCCCACTGAGATGCCACTTCTCATTTAGTAACTGCATTAAGGACTTTGCTTCATTTAGAAACTGTGAGAAGCTTGCTTTGTGCTGTGGAGAGGAATTGGCCTGCCAGATTCAAACTGGCTATTATAGGGGGTTTAAAACAACCACCTCTCTGTCTGTCTCTTTCGGCATTACCAGTAAAACTCTGTTCTCGACTTGTGTGACCCGAATCATGTAGCTTGGCTGAACTTGACAAACCCAACTGACTTGTGTCAGATTCTTAGAGGAGATTAATGAAGATTTTCTTTAGGGGTTGGGAACATCTGATTCTGTCCTTACAAGGCTGCGAGGACTTGGAATGAACAGATGTACAAATTAGGTTTTTATACCAGCAGCTGTAATTCAAGTTTATTAGATGTCTTGTGTAGTTTTCCAGCTCGCCAGATGTTGCAGAAGGGTCAAGAGCTCTTCTAGATGTTTGCACAGATTTGGTTCTAAGGAATCTGAGGCTCTTAGCTCTTCTCTGTGTTCTCCAAAGTACAATTCTACTTCTAAACTGACTGCAAAATGGCACTGTGAGGCTCTGTGCTGTGGCTGAATTTAAACTTCTTGAGCTTAAAAATGAAGCATATCAGTTCTGCAGATTCACACTGTGATCTAAAACACAGACTGTGATCTCTATATGACCTGTTTTATTCATCAACAAAAGTGACTTGGGAATGACTGCCTTTACTGACTCTGGGCAAACCGTTTGTCTTCCTATTCTGGTATTTTTTGTTATTGTTTTTATTCTTCAGATAGTGTTTTTTGACCTTATTAAAAAAAAAAAAAAGAGAGAGGGAGAAAAAAAAGAGGCAAGATAAATCCCTAACAAGTCTTTCAGTTTATATTTCTCATTCTGCGAATTGTGCTCCTATTGCCAAAGTATTCAACTGTCTCCTGAGTATTTAAGAAGTTAAATTTGCAAATGCTGAAATTGAAGAAGTTTGGTCTCGTATAGAGTTGCACACCTTCTCTTCTGTATTTCCTTCTGAATTTGTCCCCCGCCCCCCTTGTACTTTGTGCTGTCCTCTCTGTATTGAAGCCATTCCAGAGCCACATGGAAGCTCACCTCCTCTGCGTGTTTGTGTGCATGTGCGCGCTGGGTGACTTGTCTGGCAGCTTCACATTTGAAAGGGTGTGGCAGAAATCTCAATAAAATGGTTAAAGATCAGCCACCTGGTTCAAAACTTATCAGAGCTGATGTGCAGGCAGTGTAATTTTATAACTGAAGCTTCCCTAGAAAACGAGTCCAAAAGTATAAATGGTTGGGTTGTAAGAAGAACATTCATTTATGCATTGTCACTCCATTTACAGTCTGCAAACAGAACAACTTGTTTGGTTTACTTCTTTGTTTTTGTGTGAGAGAATTAATGTGTGATTTACTAGAGGGAAGCTAAGTTGAAGGAAAGGATTTTTATGTAAGTACAGAAAGTGCTTAGTCCTCCGATCATTTTTATCTGCTAAGGGATTAAATGCTGTAGTCTAGATCCAGTTGCTATAAAAATTGTCTCTTGCATGTATGACTGTGCTGGGTTTGATGAGAGTTTCACTGCTGCAGGGTGGCATGCAGCCAGTCCCAGAGAGCACTTGGACTGTTGGGGTAGATGCTTTAAATGAGATTTGGTAGGTAGGGTAAATAGCATTTATATATAATGACCTTATTTTACAATAGGCTCGTCTTTACCAGGTCTGCAACAAAATTAAAGCTTGGATCCTCAGCATTATTTAGGTACCTTGGTAATTTAATGGAGACCTGGGTGTCTGAGTATTTGGGGATCTCAAGTTAAATTAGAAAACAATGAACATTTTGAGGGAAAAAAAAAAGTCAATGATTAAAATAGATCAGAAGGATTTCTTTTTTTTTAAAGTCTCACCATTTTAAGGACCCATCAGAGCTTTATTTGTGTTTAGATTAACAGTAAATAAGAGCATAAAATTAAATGTTCGGTTTAATATGTGAAAAGCAACTGGTTGCATAACTGTCGAGTTATGAAACCTATATTTTTGTCCTCTGCATCCTGAACATCTGTGGCCTATATTTAATTGCAGTTTTCATCTTCAATTTGAAGAAACAATGTTTAGCCTGAAGACAAAAGTGATCTGTATAGTGAAATCAGCTAAAGTGTGGTTGAGTCTCACTTGCTAACAAAAAAGGCATTTTTTATGTGTGTTCTAATTTAGAAGTGGTATTCATTTGATAGTTTAAATACAGCTAAGAATACTCTAGTGTTTGAGCAATCTGAAGAATGAGAGTATTAAAGACAGAGGGACTGTAACTTAAGAGGAACAGGTGCATAAGAACAGACATGTGGGGCCATATTGTGCTATCAATTTTTAAGCAGAAATCCGTGCTGATTCCAACAGGGAGTCATTGTGCTGAAATATTGATGAGAGGATATGATACGGCCCATGGGCAGGAAATAATGAAATAGGAAAAGTAAAGCAAGCCAGCAGAAGTAGAGAAAGCAATCCAAAATGCAGAACCAAGAGGTATGAGTGACTTCAGAGGTAACATTCCTGAAAAATCTGGAGAGTGATGTGGACAGAAGGTTATATGCGGGCTGGCAATGAGATATATCTCATCACCCTTCACGCAGCACTGCATGCAGCCAGATAGCTTCAGCCCATGTTTGCAACTACAATCTGCATTTTGCAGTTGGTCCATGTAATTGACTAGATGAGATTCCTCTTTCAGTCAACCTTAATTTTTCAAGACTTGTAATTCAGATCCAAATGCTAATCTGCATTTGTGACTCAGAAGTCTCTAACTGGCAACTTTATTATAGAGGAAAAAGATGGAGCCTTAATGTAGAAACAGGAAGGTGAGGTTTGAAGAATATGCATCAGAGTCTGTTTAAATACTGGGAGTCAAAAACCCTTGAGATACTTCCATTCAGTTTGTTTCCACTTCACTGTAGCTGTTAAGACATATTCAGGGCTCAATAGACTTCTTAGCCCATGTCTGAGTTAGAAATCAAGATGTCTGCAAATGTACCCTGATGAAAACAAAGCAAGTTACCCGGTTCTAGTTTCAAAACAAATTCTGTTGTTTGAAGTACGTCTTAGATGGGGTTCCCAGGTACAACCTTGATGAGGTATCTTGTGGTATAACTACAGCTTGCTCCAAGCACAATGTGATTTATTGCCACAGAGATAAGGAATTCCAAATCTCCAGTTTCTGCCAGCACATCTTAGGAAATACGCGGGTGGTCTGTCTTTCAAGGCTAGGCCATTAAGTAATGAATGGTTGTTCTTCTCTATGGCATTAAAGATCTTAATCAACTAGATATTCCAGTTCACTGACTATGGAACTATTTCCATCTACTATTAAAACATAGCTTCTACCACTTCTCTGCCAGAGATATTTTGAGTATTTTATTTTGAGAAGTCTCTAACACACTGCCATTCATTTCCTCATGTTGGACGTGTGGATTAAAAAGAATACAAGGCAGGAACCACCAAAACAGAAAACGTCAATAATACAGATATGCTTATGCACTTCCCTTGCTTGAAGAGAATGTTCTAAGATGCAAATTTTATAATTTTCTGAAATAGGGAGAACATTTAAAGAGCATCCATGGATTAGTCTGATGAAGTTTGTTCTGTAAATTGCTTGAAAAGAAAACAGACTCTTCCTAGGTATTGCAACAAATTGTTCCCAGCACTTCAGCTTAATACACTAAATGAAAATGCAGAGGAAGCAACACAATATTGGATGAACCTGTTTCAGAACATTGGCTCGGGCCACAAAGCAAGTAATTAACAAGCTGAATGAAGCATTTAAGCCCACGCCTTATCATTTATGTAACTAACCTTTGAGTTTTGGACGCACTGGTATGCTGCAGTGAAGCCTACACAGTGTTTCTTTTATGTGTGTGTATTGAGCAAATGGGAAATGCATACCCTGCCATTTGTTTTTCACATTTTCAGCACTTATCAGAGTTCTCTGCCTGAGTGATCTTATATTGCAAAAATGTACGCCTCTTGGTCCTTTTTTCTGTAGTGCAGTATGAATCTAGATGAGTTTCAGACTTGTTGTGTAGGGGGGATATATTCTACTTTTAAGGGTGCTCGTGAGCTTGTTTAAAGCATGATTGGTGGCACTAAAAAGGAATTA